AAATAAATAGCAAACAAAACTCAACGTTGACTTTTTACCATTTTAATTATACATTTAATCTGAAAGACTATTGAAAGCATTGAAATACAAATACTTCTTTTTACCCTTATGCCAACTCCAGTGAACTGGTCTACAGATGGAACACTGCTCTGCGATCCAGATCCCCTTTCACTCTCAGTGCTGCCTTCACCTTCATCCTGGGACTGGTTGCCTTCCACATCTCCTTTCTTCATCACTAGCGTGGCTTTGCCACCAGGAACTAATTTCTGGAAAACTTCACTGAAGTTTTTTGACACCTTTAGATAAAAAGGAAAGCAAATAGCAGTTCAGGTTATTTCTAAATTACCAAATAAAGCAGAAACAACTACTGCTTTTATATAATTGTGCGATGTTATTTTCTTCAGGGATCTGCACTCACACTCAAGCACAAACTGGAAACATACCTGATACACAGATATTGCTCTAAACATTTCAACCAACTTTCACAGCACAAGATTTTTCACAAGGAAAACAATTAAAACATGGAACAGTAGCAAACAAGTACGATTTCAGTGAACTTAAGATGAGGTTAAAAGTTGCAAAGAATCTCCAGGAAAAAACTTTATATACCACAGTAAGACTCTTGGCTAACAGCAGCAATGCCTTTCACTTAACTCAGAGCAGACTTGGGAGCACAGTTTGATAACAAACTTCCCCCAGAAAGGGTTGAAATTCAACAAAGTATTCTAAAAGATCACAGAGAAACCAGAATGGCCACACAACCTAGGTCATGAGTTATTTAAAGTGCTAACTTATTTAACATTATTTGAAGAAATAAAGCCTCAGTTACAGAGAGTTTTCTATTATGCAATATCTCCTTTTCTTCCCTGTCACAGCTACATATTGCAACATGAAATTATGTAGCAACTCCAGGTTCTTCCTAGCTGCTGTCCATGTTACCTGTTTGAAAGTCAGCTGAATAGCTTCGTACTTCCTCAGCTCAAGTACATTCATCAGCTCCATGATGGACTTGTAGCCCCTGTCCAGCTCCTCTTGTCTTTTTATTAGTTTTTCTTTCTGTTCTGAGAAGTTCACAAACTGATCTAAGGCTTTTTTATTCACGTGGCTGTATTTCTTCAGTTCTGTATTACACTGCTCTAGTTTGCGGAATAGCTGCATAGGGAAAAATATTAATATAAAGTGAGCTTCAGTTCTAGCCACGTAGGACAATCAAGATGCGTGTGATCCCATACATACATTAAACATTTTATATTGTTATAGCATGAAACTAAACACATTATTACCTGCTTTAAACTTAAAGTCTGGTATTTTTCAAAGGCCTCCTGTGGAAGTGAACCCAACTCTCTGATTTTCTTCATGCATTCCTCTTTTTTCTTGAGGAGCATGCCTTGCCTGTTAGTCATTTTTTCAAGTTCTTTTGTGTCATGGTTAATGGCATCCATATGTTCTTTTTCCATGTTCTTCCAGCGTTCCATGCTTTTTTGAAGCTCTTTAATTCCTGCCTCTGTTTTGTCAATAGAATTATCCAGATCTGAGATATTGAGGGGAAGAAAAGAGGAAAACAA